CGTCCTGTAGTTGCTGGAGCTCTGCAGACACGAGTGTCTGGACTCTTTTCTTTCAGCATTTGATCTTTTCCTGATTCTAAAGCTCTCTGAAATTGTTCAGCTGTGGTGACCATATCACGATCTTTTCATCCAGTTATCATCATTGTCATCGTCATCATCGTCATCATCATTTTATTATTTTGTAGTACTGGGTTTAGACCCAGGCCCTTTGCACTGAGTTACGCTCCCAGCCCTTTTTTCTTTCTTTCTTTCTTTCTTTCTTTCTTTCTTTCTTTCTTTCTTTCTTTCTTTCTTTCTTTCTTTCTTTCTTTCTTTTTAAGTTTTGAGATAGGCTCTTGCTAATTTACCCAGGCTGGGCTTGAATAGATGATTTTCCCACCTCATTTTAATCTTTTTTTTTTAAGAAAAAAATCAGGTCACCACCCTCTGATCCCAGAGCCCATTCATAAATAAGACCACCAGGGCTGTTCAGTTCCAGTAAGAAACACAGGACTCCCTGCTGTGTTTAAGGCCAGCATGTTTAACAAGTGAGGTTTCTAATCTAGCCCTGTAATGAGACTGAGTCATCTTTATCCTGTTTACCCGGTGGAATAATAGACTATTCAGTCTTTTGTGGGAAGACAATGGTCCATCTTCTAAGAGGTTTTCAGTTGCTTTTCTGGCATCCTTAGGGCCCTCCCTTGAGGCTGTCTGTACTTCTCTCAAGCCTGTCCCTTGTGTCCTGCTGCTGTCATCCATGTCTGTGCTTTGTAGGCTCCTGATATCTTAGGTATAAACTGATACAGCCCAGGGAGTCCAGGGCCTCAGGTTCCTGTGCGGATTCTAAATTCCCGGTCAGAATTTATGGATTTTCTTTGAGGTTTGGAAAATGTTTGTTAAGGCTCTGAGTTCAGTTTTTGACCAAGGAGTACAAGTAGTTACAGGAGCCAGCTGACTGTTCTGGGGGCCTGGCTTTCTACGGTATCAGCCTAATTCACCTTTTGCCTTAGCCTTGGGGTGCAAGGGTGTTTGGGCTAAAGGTTTGGGTGAGAAGCCCCGTGACTGGCTGCACGTTTAGAGCGCATGAATGGCTGTAAGTACCACGCCCCAAATGAAACAGCCACTCCCACTGTCTCTGACAGGCTGGCCTCCATCCCTTCATTTCCAATGATCCCTGCAAATGAACAGTTTGATCTTGACTCAAAACCTGCCCACCATGGTGTCTGCAGCTCTTGGGTAAGGGATACCCATTTCTCTAGCAAGGCGCAGAGAGGTGACTCATAATTTCTGAACATAAAATTAGCTGGAGTTGTAGATGGAGGAGTCTCAGACTCCTTCAATGCGGCTGATCCCTTGCTACCTTGTCTCTAAAATTTACCTCCCTGAGGCCTCCAATTTGACCTCTTCAGTTCCCAAGGAGTCCTCAGTTTGTCCCGGAGATCCAATCCAAACAAGAACTAAGCAAGTAAATTGGAGGTGCAAAATGTGGGACTTACTTTGGGCCTCAGAGGCTGCTTGAAAATAGTGACCACGAGGAGTGTCACTTGGTTCCTTGATGTTCCTGGAGGTCACCAGTAGTTTCTTCTGAATCCCACTACTGCCACAGATATGTAAGTGGAAAATACAGGGCACAGTCAGATTTTAATGAGTCTGAGTAAGAAGCAATTTGTGGATTGGGAACGCCAGAGCGAGAGGTTTACTGTTCCAGCCTCATAGTTCCGGAGCCATGTACTTAGGGGAAAAGCGTGGAAGCCAAAGAAATTATTTCATTGGTTGCAGTTGCGAGATCACCTTTTGGTTTTCTTTGTTAGAGTAGCCCTGGTCACACGCTCATGTGTCAGCTGTTTATGATTGGCCAAAAGTAGTGTGCGTTTTGGTCTGATGTAAGCAGAAATAACTGCAAGACTCAAATTTTGCCTACCCTTTCAGTTTAAGCAAAATTAAAGCTATATTTAACCTTGTTGCAAAATCTATGGCCTTATTTATTTTGTTTGCTCAGGGAGTTTTCAGGCCTTATCTCCATTTTAATTTGGCTTTACTACTTCCTCTTGGGAAAACACCATTTCATCTGTTAGTCTCCTTCAGACTGTAAGGAATAAAGAAATACTGGGGTTATTTTATGATATGAATTTGTTGATGATTGTCCTTCTGGGAGTTGGGCTCGGACCTTCACACTAAGCTGTGTGTCCTGCCCTTTTAAAATCTTGTTTTTTTTTTTTTTTTTTTTTTTTTTTTTTTTTTTTTTTATGTGTGTGTGTGTGTGTGTGTGTGTGTGTGTGGCCAGCTCAGCCCACCAGGGGGCGGGGCTGGCTGGCATGTGGTGCTGGGGGATTGAACCGTGGTCCCTGTGCATTGCCAAGCTTGTTTCAAGTAGGTGCTTTAGACCACTGAGCCATCTCTCCAGCCCCTAAAATCTTGTTGAAACAGGATTTTTTTTTTTTTTTTTTCGGGTAGTGGGGATTGAACGCAGCACCTTTCACTTGCCAGGCAGATACTTACATCACTGAGCTATATCCCCCAACCCCTTGAAACAGGGTCTTGCTGAGTCACTAAGTTGCTCAGGCAAGACTCAGACTTGCAGTTCTCCTGCCTCAGCCTCAAGAGTGAGTGTGTGATTGCCGGTCATTGTGCCATGAAGCCTGGTGTGAATTCATTGTAAGAACATTTGGTGATAAAGAAAAATTATTCTGTGAAAAATGGTAAGGCAGACCTTATTCATTATTGGGGGGCAGGCAGCTAGAGGCACTCTTGCCACAGGGCTTTGCCTTGGAGGGAAGGGATTGGACTCAACTCTGAGGCCACGAGAAGGGGCAGTTTATACCAAGGAGTAGGGTTGGAGTCAGTGGATAGGAAATTACTAAGACAAAACATGGAGGGTGTAGGGCTGAGCTGCCTACCCAGGATCTGTTGCTGAAGCCAGTGGCATTGAAGGTAGCTTCGTAGCAAGGGCGGGAGCTCCTCACTGAGTGGACTTCACATGATTCTGAGATCCAAACTCAGAATGGCTCCTGCAACAGCACAGAAGCCCACAGTCAGCAAAGCCAGGCAGAGGACTCTGAGGAGCTTGATCCAAGGTTTTGTGAAAAGAGAGGGACTTTGTTCCGGAAGCCAGGTCCTAGGATAGCATCTCGTGGTTTGCTTAGTGACATCCCACAGATAATGGGAGCGTTGTCCAGGGTGGAGCAGCTCCTCCAGCATCTGAGCAGACCACTGTGCTCGTGATTGCATGTTTTTCTTATCTCTAGCTTGTCATGAATTCTGCTTCTACTGCTGGGCTGTCTCTTTTTCTCTTCTGTCCTGGTACTTCTGCTCTCACAGGAGTTTATTTGTCCTCGTTTCTCTCTGCATTGTCTGGATTTATTGTTTTAAATGCAGACTGCTCTTTGATGTGTTCACAGTTAGAAGTTGGCTAGAACTGGATCTCCCCGGAAGTGGAGAAGGGAGGAAGTAGCCCTCTTCCTGTTCCAGAGGAGCAGCTCCTGGAGAGGCAGGTGTGCCGCTCCCCTAGGTGCAGGCCGTGGAGATGGTCTCGCGTCGCATTTAGTTGTGCATCCACCGTTATTTCTGACTCTCATATCAGGAGGGCCAGTGGTCATTCTTACTGAATCCCAAAAAATCTTAAGTCGGTGACAAAGTCTTCAGACACCTTCACTTGGGAACAGTTGTTTCCAACAGAAATGGGATGCCCCCTGCTGGTTTGACCTTTCTGTGGCAAGAATAAAGCTTTTATCTTAGAAAAAAAATCCTAACTAGTGATCAAGCATAATGCCTTTTTTTTTCCTCAGAAAAGATAATAACTACTGAGTTGTACTGTGTAATGCAGGATGGATTTCTGAAATGATGCGTGACCATAGAGCTTTCCTCTTAACCAGTGAACCAGTCTGCGGAAAAATGGTACTGTGACCAGTTCTCTTAGACAGATAAACATGTTGCAATTTTCCCCAATTTTTATAAGGGGCAATGTCTTGGTTACTCTCCTCATTGCTGAGACAAAATACCCAACACCCAAAGTTGAAGGAGGAAAAGTTTTATCTGACTCACAGTTCATAGGGGTTTTAGTCCCTAAACTGCTGGCTCCCAGGCAGGGTGACATGGCAGAGGGGCGCACAGAGGAGAAACAGCCTAAGGCAGGCAGAAGGCTACAGAAGCAACAAGCAGCAGGCAACGAGCCTCCCTCTGTCTCTTATGTTGCGACCAGGCTGCCTGCCCTTAGGGTGGCTAGCAGTCCTAGCACCATACCAGGTGTCAGTCCCCACATTCTGCACCCTATCCACCCATCTCTGAAAAGCCTATGACTGCCTGAGGCTTTGAGGAGCTATCTAGACACGAGCCATAACAGGTGATAAAGGTATATAATGAATGATTGAATACAGAATGTTATTACACTAAAAGACACATTGGCATTTGTCCGCCTCGGAAGACACCCTCGCACTTTGAGCACACTTACCCTGCTGTTCTTGCCACTTTCTCAAGCAGTTCTGGAGTCCTCTTTGGTGAGCGTCTTTATGAGGTGTGATCAAAACAGTGCTACTGCCAAGCGCCATCCACCAGAAAGCCCGGCTCCTGGGAACCGTAGGGCGTGCCCTCAGCCTCCTTATTCACTGGGCATGGCACTGTGCACTTGTGGCTCTTCAACAGAGTCAGAATGACCATGAAAGGCTAATGTTTTTAATGAATTCGGGACACTGAGGCAGCCACACAGGGCAACTAAAGACACAAAAGTGGAGCATATCGTGTTAAAGTTAAGTCGGGTGTCTTGCATATGCGGGAACAAGTGGACCATTAGCATTAGTATGGTTACGTAACCTTGGAGTTGTTCTGATTTCAGTGGTTGTCTGTCTGTCTTTTCTTTCTTCCCTCTTCCCTTTTCCCCTCCGTGAGACATGGTCTTGCTGTGTAGTCCAGGCTGGCCCGGAAGTCTCAGGGATCCTCACTACACCTACATTGTTTTCCTGCTTGATTTACAGTTTGCTATACAAAGTTCTTGCTGACCTGGCTCTATTTTTTGTACATATGATTAGATCACAGGAGGGATTAAGACTCTGCAGAGTGCAATAATACAGCAAGATGAGCGGCTGGCGAAAGCGATGGTTGGGGACGGCTCCTTCCATCTGACCTTGCTAGTGATGCAGTTACTAAGTGAAGATGAAGTGAACATGTGAGTAACACACAGCTTTCTTCAATAGCATTTTTCAAGTTCTTACTCCAATAGGTATAAACATAGAACTCAAAGTCACTGAAATTTGGAAGAAATACTCTTACCTCAATTAATCATCAATATATAGGACCATTGCACCTACATATTTTTCTTGTTGACTTTTTCACTCTGCAACTATCAAATGGCAGCCCTTGGTGACACAGCTGTTTCGTCCTTACTCATTACACAAGCACGCTGGAGTTTGGTTTTGCAGTGCAGGTTGGGATTCTAGGAAAACCTCCTGGGACCATGATGTAACCACCTTTTTTTAGTTGCTTGGTTTGGGCAGCTCACTAGCTGTCTTAGTAAATGGAGAGAATCATACTGCCAGTCCATGGCCAAGCTCTTAGTCAGGGCCTGCTGGGAGGTAGCTACTCAGTGATGTAGCCATCAGAGCTGCCTTGCTTTTTTTTTTTTATTTTTTTTTTTTTATTTTTTGTATTTTAGGGAAGGGTCTACAGGGTGTTCATGGTCTCACTACTAGATCAGACTCATAGGCCTGTCTGTAGCCTCCCAAGAGCTGGAATTATAGGTACGCGCCACCATGCCCAGTCTCAATTGCCATCTCAGTGCGCCTTGGGGGTGGATCCAGCATAGCAGGCCCAGGGATTGAACCCCTGGCCCTTGTACCTGCTTGCAGATGCTTTAATCTGCTGAGCTATTTGGCTGGCCCAGTGCTGCCATTTTACTAAGGAGTAGACAATTTCTGTTCACCTAAGTTATTTGTCAAGTTCCTGTATGCCACCCTTGGGTGCTAAAGGTGTGGAATAGCAGTTGCCCATCACTGCTTTCCATGCTTGTGTGGCAAACCTTGCCCTTCCCCCAATTTGGTGGGCACTGCCAATTGCTGCCCCACCCATGCCCCCCATCTGTACAGTTTGCTGATGAAACCCGAGTTTCACCTCTTTGGAAAGTCTAGGCTAGAACGACTGTAGGTGGCTTCTGTTTTTTGCTTTGACATATATTTCCCCCTTAGGAATAAAGAAAAAGGCTTGGATTAGGGAAGGGTGAAGAAAAGGTAAAATGAGAGACAGAAAACAATGAATGGGTAACTCAGGATATCCAGCCACATGGGATTATCATGTCTGTAGAGACTGGTCTTCTGTTCTGTCCCAAGCTGTCTTCCCAGGTCTTAGACATCTATCCGGGGCTGAGAGGACTAGAGATTTTAATTTATTTAGGTAGACAGTAGAGAGAATAGCTTTGACTGGTCACCTTGCCCATCAGCAGGAAAAACAGATGTTCCTGAGAGAAGAGAAGCCATGGGAGATGTGACCCAGAAAGAATGACTGAGCAGGAAGGAGCAGCCCCTGGTTGCGTTAGGAGAGCCTGTTAGGGAGGCAGAGCCAGTTGGGGGCTGGCTCACTCGTCAGTGGGTGTCCCTGTGTGTAACGAGTTGGCGAAGGAATTGGCTTGTGTTGCAATCTGCAGTCCAAGGGCAGCCTGGAGGTAGAATTGCTTCTTTCTCAGGGGACCTTGCTCTTTTCTCCTAAGGCCTTCAGTTGATGGCACTAAGGTTCAAGGTACGGCCTCAGTGTAAACAGCTAAAGGGAGTAAAACTGACTCTTTTCAGGGGAGACATTGTTTATACGGAGGATTTTTGATAAAGTCTCTAACCTTCGATCCTATCTATGTAATATGGAAGTGATTTCAATTGTTGTTACTTGTATTTATTCTTTTTAAAGCATAGTATCATAAAAAGTATTGGCTTGGGCCGGGGAGATGACTCAGTGGAATAAGTGCTTCCCTGGTAAGCACAAGGGCCTGAGTTCAATCCCCGGTTCCGCAAAAAAAAAAAAAGTATTGGCTAATAGTTTGGATATGGAATATGCAGAGACTATTTTTTAAAGTCAGGAACTCATTTAGGTAAGTATGACCTAAGGTCATTTACGCCTCACGGTACCGATAAAGGAAAGAAAACTATGTCCAGGTGTGGCGTGTGCACCTGTAACCCCAGCACCCAGGAGGCTGGGGCAGGAAGATTGCTGTAGGGTCAAGGTCTTGCTTGAACTGTATAGTGAGTTCAAGGCCATCTTAAACTGTGTAGCAAGACCCTTTCTCAAACCCTCCTCCAAACAAAAACATTCAAAATACCCCTCAAAAAATAGAAATGCAAGAGGCCAAATCCAGCAGGTGATCTGATAATATAGCTGTCTTATCTTAATTTGAAATATGAGCTTTTTTTTTTTTTTGCGGTACGGGGGATTGAACTCGGGACCCTGCGCTTGCCAGGCAAGCACTTATTCTACTGAGCTATCTCTCCAGCCCCTGAGCTTTGGTTCTGAGCTCCAGCTTCAAAATTTTGCTTTATATATGAATATGCTTTACTTTTTTTTTTTTTTTTTTAACTGTAAAGAAGTCTGTTTATAGACCAATCTTAGGATTCTTAATTGGGCATTGAACTCAGGATCTTGCGCTTGCCAGGCAGGCACCTATGCTGCTGAACTATATCCCGGGCTTCCAGTCTTAGGATTCTGTTCTGCTCAGTTCATTTATGTTTAGAACAGGGTTCTCCTACATAGTACAGGTTGGCCTTGAACTCACAATGTAGTCCAGGCTGGCTTCAAACTCAGGGTGAACTCTGGTCTCAGCCTCCTGAATGCTAGGATTACAGGCATGTGCCACCATGCCCCGCTTGTATTTCTTTAAATAAAAATACTGTATAACATTTCCTCTCTGAAAAGTCTTGGCCGTACTTGCTTCTGCTTGGGCATACAGTTTTCTTTGAAATGAATGTCTTGAATTCTCTAGTTTATTACAGATGATCCTGAAGCAGTTGTCCTGCTATCTTGTGCTTTAACTTAAGATGGGGACAATATTGAGTTAGAAGTGTGTATGTTCTGTCCTCTTAAATGATCAAAAATACAGTTAGGTGAGGTTAGAGTTAGCATGTGAATGTTTAGAAACAATGAGAGATGTTAACATCACTAACAAATATTAACAAATATACAAGGCTGATATACAATACTGTGTTGTCCTAAGTCATAGCAGGGAGGGAAAGCAGAGTGCCTAATTCAGGAGGTCAGTTATTATAGGAAGATTAATTTCGAGATATGAAAGACCTAAGAAACACTGTTTTTGTTTCACACAATTTACTGTGAACACATCATTCATCAGGATAATTTAAATTAGTGATGGCCCTTCTAACTTCAGCAGCACACGTACTAAATTAAGGATAGTTTATTAGAAGGGTGTTGGAAAGCCCCTTACATACCGCATGTGTGAGGGCTGGTGAGATAGCTCAGCAGACGAAGTGCCTGCTTAGGCAAGTGCAGGGCCCGGGATTCGATTCCTGCCATCATGTGTTGAGACCGGGCGTCGTGGCACATGCCTGTAATCCCAGGATCACTGAGTCTGACCTGTAGGGAGACCCGGTAGCACATACATACTGTGCATGTGCTTGTGTCTTTTGCAAGTCGTTGCTGCCCTCTAGTGAGAGTCTGCTTCCTTTCACAAAATGAAGTACCCACACCAAAATTCTTGTCAAGGTGAAAAGAATTGATCCTTCTTTTCAAAAACATTCACAATCCGGCCAGGGAGATGGCTCAGTGGAATAAGCGCTTCCCTGGCAAGCGCAAGGACCTGAATTCAATCCCCAGTCCCCCCCCCCCAAAAAAAAGAGATCCTTTCAAAAACATTCACAATCTTGTAGTGTCTAATGAATAATATGGTAAACATTTATTTTCATAAAGAGCCATAAAGATTTGAAAACACAGGGTACGCTTAAAAATGTAGGCTAAATCACTATAGCAGGATGTACCTTCAGTTGGGAAATATGATTAGCTTGTATTTTATTTGAATCCAAGCGTGGTGCATTATCTTATTATGGAGAAACCATATTTTAAGAGGTGATGTGGATTGAGTTTTCACGGCGTGCTTTGCAAATAGTAAACACTGGGTATTAGGAGTTGTATCAGAAATTTAGAGCTTTACACATAGATTAGAAACTTTTTTTTTTTTTTTTTTTTTTTTTTTGCGGAACTGGGGATTGAACTCAGGCTCTTGCGCTTGCGAGGGAAGTGCTTATTCCACTGAGCTATCTTCCCGGCCCCGATTAAAAACTTTTATAGTTAATGTTTTTAAGGACATACATCAGTAACTTTTTGAGTTGTGTATACAATATTTACTTTGTAATTTTTTCCACGAACTATAAGGTAGTATTTACTTTTATATCTTCAATTGTAATTACATATAATTTTTAATTATAATTACATAAAGATTTAATTTTCTCCTGTGGTTTTTACTCAAAAACCAATGTTAGCTTTAATCATATGAGTTAGCTCTAGCAGGTATTTTTACCTCTGGAAGGGGCTTGTGCTATCCTTATTTGATTTTGCCTGTGTTATTGCTTCATCTGTTACTGAAAATGCTGTTATCTCCTGCCAGTGGCGTGGATGCGCTTTCACAATTGAAGCCTTCAGTAGAAGATGTCCTCCAGGGACGGCGTCTGACGCTGCCCTTCCAAGGAACCGACACTTTCGGAAATCAGGTCGGCTTCGTGAAGCTGGCGGACGGAGACCACATCCCCCCACTCTTAGAGATCGCAGGTAAAATGGACAGTGGCACCCAACATCTCATCAGCAGAAGAAGCAATGTTTTAATTTTGGTCATAGAGGCTTCATGTCTTTTAATTTTTGGAGCTAGTATGCATAACTCTTTAGACAAGATCTCGCTGTGTAGTTCAGGCTGGCCTTGAACTCTCTACATAGCCCAGCCTGGCTTTGAACTTGCTGCAGCCCTCGTGCCTCAGTCTCCTGAGTGATTAGAGGTGTGTGCCTGTGTCTGCCAACCTGTAACCTCATTTTGTGCGTCAGTTGCTTTGGTGTTTGCTTGTGTGAATAAGGGATTCAACGAAGTGCCTGAAAAGTGATCCTGACTCTTGGGCCTGAGGAATATGTTAATTCTGGAGCTTTCTGGAAGGTGATGGACTGGATTCCTGTGTTAGTCATAAGTCTGAAGGGTCCTAGCGCTCATCATGACATTTGACATGGGGGTGGGGCACTTAATAAGTATCGAATGAATAAGAGTCAGCAGTTGCCTTGTACAAGCTGTGGGAATTGTCACCTACTGCAGAGAGCTAGCAGGTAAGTCAGCTGCGTTTCCCTATATTCTGTCCCCTCTTCCATGTCAGCTGCTTCTCTGAGCAAAAAGCCTCTTTGTGATGGGATAAGACTTCACACTTAGTGGAGACCATTTGTAGGTTCTGGAGTTAAAAGTATCAAGGAATTACATGTAAGAAAAACACAACTCTGAGTGGCTTTTGGGTTTGGTTGAGAGAGTCCAGGTCAGGTGTCATTTCATGTCACCTCATTTTGGGGATCAGTAACCCTTGACTTTTCATACAATCTCATTGCTGGCCCATACAGGGCCCACTCGTAGCTTCCTTTTTCTGTCTTCTTTCTCTTTTATCCTCTTTTCAGTCCCCTCTCCCTCTGTGTGTTTATCTAGGTGTTCAAAAACAATGTGCTCACCTGGGAATCTACCAAGGAAAACAATAGCTAGGATTTCAGTAGCATAGTGGTGCTCATTGTTAGCTGATCCCAGTAGGTATGACGAGCATGAGAAGCGGTGAGTACCACGCAGGCTGTTTCGGCTGGAAGGTTCGACCTAGTGTACTGAATACCAGCCGAGCAGTGAGTGCGAGGGCAGAACTTGCAGGCATCAAAGTATGTTGAGTACCAAATTCTGTAAGTTTCAAAGAGTCAAAAAACAAGATCTGGGCTGGTGAGATGGCTCAGTGGTCTAAAGCACCTACTTAGAACAAGCTAAGCAAAGCAAAGCACAGGGACCGTGGTTCAATCTCCCAGCACCACATGCCAGCCAGCCCCGCCCCCTGGTGGGCTGAGCTGGCCACACACACACACAAAATAAATAAATAAATACACTTTAAAAACAAACAAACAAAAAAACCAAGATCTGACTCTAAGATAAGGGTTTTTTTTTTTTGTTTTGTTTTGTTTTTTGTTTTTTCCTTCCTCGAATGCCTTCAGGGCACTTTTGGCCAGCGGGAGAGTTGTGAGGTTCGAACTCCAGGAACCTGAGGCTGACAGCTTTGTGGAAGCAGCCACTTAAAGGACTGAGCTAGGGCCAGGCCCCTGACTCTAAGATAAACTGTATCATCTTCTTCACATTTTCTTGACCTTCTTCTGTATAACCAACATTTTGAGGTTGAGGTTTATGATTTCTATATAGTCTCCCCAAAACATGTGTGCGTATACACACACATGCGCACACACACACACACACACACACATCTGTCTTCGTAGCCTCAACTTCACATAAAGAACAGCTTGCTGTCTGTGACTTTTGTCATATACTTTTCCACTCGGTGCTGTATTGCCTCTGTGCAGTTCAGGACGTGCTCACAGGGCGGTACAGCTGGTACTGAAGGCGCTTGTAGTGAGGATCAGGTTTCTTTGTTGGTAATTTTCTCTTTAGTTATCTTTCCTGTAAAATATTTCTGTGAAGTATATTTTACATAAGAATGTCTCATTGGGGGCCGATGAGATGGCTCAGTGGACTAAGCACCTGCTTTGGCAAGCGCAGGGACCAGGGTCTGATTCCTGTCTCACCTGTCCTGCTGGCCCTGCCCCTGGGGCCCGATGAGCCTGTGACTGGGTCTGGGCATGGTGGTGCATGCCTGTAATCCCAGCACGGGGGAGGCTGAAAACAGGAGGATCACCACGAGTCCAAATAGGTAAAATGAGAAAAAGAAAAAAATCTCATTTGGATTGTGAACCTAAAGTTCAGTATTAATGCCACTGGTGGAACAACTACATACATCGTAGTTAAGGTTTTTATGAATTTATCTCCTCTATATTCATTTCTTGTACCTAACTTTGGGCCTAAGGAACTGTAATTTGGCAGAAATAATTTGTTCTGTCAGTGTACAGTTAGTTAACATTCATTAGGTGTTTGAAAAGCAAGTTCCTTGTCCTCCAAGGAGCTCTCAGTCTTGTGCAGAAATGGTGACCAATTCCAGTGCACTGTGATCAGTTCTGTACCTAGAGGAAGGGGCAGAATACTCATAGGAGAAAGCTTCTGCATTGCAGAAGAGTAAGTAAAGGTTTTCTCATTGGGTGGGTTGTAGGAAGGCATTCTAGGTAGAGGGAGTCGATTGTATGTGGAAAGAAATCAAGGGGGCTGGTGAGATGGCTCAGTGGTCTAAAGCACCTACTTAGAACAAGCTTAGCAAAGCACAGGGACCGCGGTTCGATCCCCCAGCACCACATGCCAGCCAGCCGCGCCCCCTGGTGGGCTGAGCTGCCTCCCTCCACATAAATAAAATTTAAAAAAAAATCAAGGTGTATTTAGGGACCCACAATTAATTTTATTAGACTATAAATTACAAGTCTAGGGCTAACATTTAAATTAGATTCACATACTAAACTGGTAGAGGTCTTGAGGAAAGTGATGATTATAACAGTGAGCATGAAAGTCAGACATAGAAAATGTCTTTGAAAAAAGTTCAACATCCCGTCATGATAAAAGCCCTGAAGAAACTAGGTATTCAGGGATCACTTGTCAGTCTACTGGTAGCCATATATAATAAACCACTGCCTAAGTTATTCTGAATGGGCAAAAATTGAAAGCATTTAACCTAAAATCACGAATGAAGCAACGATTTCTACCCTCGTCATTCCTATTCATATGGTTCTTAAAATTTTAGCTAGAGCAATTAACAAGAGAAAGCAATGAAAGAAGGAAAGAAGTCTACATGATTAGTCTGATCTTTAGCACCCTCTTCTACTTCAAAATTTGCAAGTTTTGTATTATACTTATGTCTCAGAGTTTTTTTAATGTTTTGTTCAAGATTTTGTTTACTTTTCTCAGTGTCTGCATGTGATAGTTCTCAACCTTATTTTTGAGCCCTGGAGTTCTGTCTTCTGCTATGTCTTGTATTATTAGTGAGATTTCAGTTAGGTTTTTGATTTGATTTACTGTGTTTTTTATGTCTAAGATTTCTGTTTCATTCTTCTTAGAAATTTCTTTTTGTTGAATTTCTTCTTCATATCTTGTATTGTCTTCCTTAAATCATTCAGTTTATTTATATCATCTTTGAAGGCATTAATTATTTTATAAATAAGTTTTGAATTATTTGTCTGGGAGCTCATTTACTTTGATGTCTTTAGATTTAGTGGAAATTTGGAGGAATTGTGTTGCATGTTTTTTCATAGTGCCTGTGTTTCTATATTTAGACTTCTGCCTCTGTGGGGATGGATATCTCTTCCACTTTTATTTGAGGGGCTCTTCATTGTTCAGCCTTTCTTTGAGGGCCTGATTCCCAGCACCGCTCAGAGAGGAAAAATGAAACTGAGTAATGTTGACAACCCAAAGACAAACAAGGTACTGACATTCAATAAAAACCAATTAAAGACAAAACTTGTACCATCCTTACCAGTAGAAAAGAGGTCAGTAGCAATAGAGACCCAAAAGCAAACCAGGTGTCGCACTACAGTAATAATTTGGTAAAGACAACAAAGATACCACCATTTAACAATAGAAAAGAAACCAGAAATACTTGCATAAAGTAAGCTAAATAGTTAAAAATTAATCAAAGTTAATAGTGATGATAACAAATGGAGGGGTGAGGAAAACAAAAAATGGGAAAAGATGTTATTGTTTTTTTGGACAGAGTCTTGCTAGGTAGTTTAGGCTGAACATGAACTCACTATGTAGCCCATGTAAGCCTTGAACTTGGGCAGTCCTCCTACTGTGGTCTCCCAAATGCTGGGATTAAAGCTGTGTGCCACCACATCTGGCAAAAAGAAGTAAAATTTGAGAAAGAAGGAAGATGAGAGAAAAATGAGATAAAAATCCAACTAAAGGATAAAAAGTAATAGAGTCAGGTTAAAAAAAGCACACACATGCAAACAAGAAAAATATTAAATAAAAGAATACAGCAAAGACCAAAAAGAAAGAAAAACAAACAAACATAAAACAAAGTAAAAGAGAAAAAAGTCCAAAGAAAACCCTCCGTGTTGAGATGCTTGGGTGGGTAGTTTCTTTCTAGGTCACAGGTGTTAGCATCCACCAGATATAGGGGAGGGCTAGCGAGTCACAGCTGTGGCCTATTATGTTTCCATAGCTATGCTTTGCTCTCTGAATGCTGAATCCTGTCCCACCTTTTCCACAGGGTGGAGTCTGTCATTGGTCTGTTGTCTGCCTCAGGGATGTATTCACTTTAAGTGCTTTTTATGTGTGTTGTTGCCCTTCTGTGTATCTTGAGTCATTTCTCTTTCCTACTGGGTTTGTGGGCTTGTGAGGTGCCAGCTTGTACAGAGGACCCTCTGTCCAGGTGCCCAGGGACATGGCAGATGTCCAAGTGTCATGTTTGGTAGCTGGTGAAAGCAGACAGATTATGAGTTCTGTGATGGAAGTAGGTATCAAGGGGAGGCAAAGATTTATCAGACTCTATCCCAGGACTTTCAGGCCGAGACTACTCAGAGACCCATAGGGCTTTTCCCCACAGAGGGTGATGCTGTTAACCATTGTTTCTTCTACTACCTGAGGTCTCTGCTGGCAAATTTCCCAGGATGTTTGTAAG